TGGGGCCTGAACTCTGGGCCTGGGCGCTATCCCTGAGCTGTTCAGCTCAAGGCTAGCGCTCTACCACTTGAGCCACAGTGCCACTTCTGGCTTTTTTCTTTTTTGCTTATGTGGTGCTGAGGAATCGAAGCCAGGGCCTCAAGCATGCAAGGCAAGCGCTCTACCACTGAGCCACCTTCCCAGCCCATACTTTTTTTTTTTGGGGTCCAGTCGTGGGGCCTGAACTCTGGGCCTGGGCGCTGTCCCTCAGCTCAAGGCTAGTGCTCTACCACATGAGCCACAGCGCCACTTCTGGCTTTTTTCTTTTTGCTTTTGTGGTGCTAAGGAATCAAACCTAGGGCCTCAGGCATGCAAGGCAAGTGCTCTACCACTGAACCACCTTCCCAGCCCCGTCAGCCCATACTTTTTTGTTGTTATTGTTAGTTGTGGGGCTTGAATGCTGGGCCTGGGCGCTGTCCCTCAGCTCTTCAATTCAAGGCAAGCACTCTACCACTCGAGCCACAGCACCACTTCCAGTTTTCTGGTGCCCTGGCTGGCTTTGAACTGCTCTCCTCAGATCTCAGCCTTTTGAGTAGCTAGGTTTACAGGCATGAGCCACTGGCACCTGGCAGCTCACTTTGAAAAGCAGCAACTTAAGAAGTGTTAGGACTTGGGATTTAAAGTATTTAACATGGATTTACATAAAATGTACTGTGCACTAGTCACTGTTGGAAAATCCACAAGCCCCATATTATAGCAAGTTAATTTCCCAATAAAAAATGTTATTATCTGGGCTGGGAAGGTGGCTCAGTGGTAGAGCCCTTGCCTTGCATGCATGAGGCCCTGGGTTCCATTCCCCAGCACCACATAAGCAAAAAGAAAAAAAGCCGAAGTGGCGTGGTGGCTCAAGTGGTAGAGCACTAGCCTTGAGCTGAAGAGCTGAGGGACAGTGCCCAGGCCCAGAGTTCAAGCTCCAGGACAGGCAAAAAAAAAAAAGTTCTTTTCATTAGTAGTAGTTCCCTGAAATGGCCATGTTTTCTTTCCCTCCTTCCTTTTATGAAGATGGGTTCAAATCCAGGGCCTTGCACCTGCTAGGCAAGTGCTCTATCACTAGGCTATTAGCCACAGATGAACTCTTTTGCCCAGGCTATCGTTGGGGCTTCATGGCTGATCAACTCTGTGAACTCTGATGGGTTAACTTCCCATGCCACTGTTTCTTCATGTGGAAAACAGTCTTCAGTGTCCCTAACTTGTCCAGTTCTGGGTGCCATCTTTCTGCTTCCAAGGCGATCTGGAGCCCTCGAACCCCTGGAATCCCTGGTTTACTGGCAGAACATTCCTTCCCCAAGGCTTCTTTGTCCAAATGGTCTCAATGTCTTTGGCATCAGAGATCTGTTTCCAGCTCCTGATTTCATCTTTCACCAGCCTTTGGTCAAGTAAAGGTGCATGTCTCTGCCTTCAATTCCTTATCTATTCAAATTGTACTGGTAGTAGTTGGGAGGTTTCAACAGATTAATGCATGTAGTGGCACAGGGCTGGAGGGCTTGCCCAGCAGGTGCAAAGTCCTGGGACCCATCCCAAGCACCAAGATAAATAAATAGAAGAAGGCATGTAAATAGCTGGGTATTACATGAAGTGGTACTATGTGCCTGGCCTCCTTCCTGAGTCTCCACAATGACTCATTTCTACCATCTTCATTTAAAGGATAGGAAATTGAAGATCAGAAAGGTCCTGAGATCAGGCAAGAAATGGATGGGGTAAGGAACCAGGCCCAGGGAGACAGGTTTCAGACTTGGGCCCACACCTCTTATAGGAATTCATAGGTTCCCAGGCAGTGAAACTCCAAAGTCAGCCCCAGCTGCCCGAAACTGAACCACAGAGAGCTGGCTCTCAGCCCCCTTCCACTGGCTCCCTTCTTTCCTCCCAGCCCCACCCTGCCACCCCCATTTCCCTCCCTGGCCCTGGGGCCCTGCTTCTTCTCCAAACCTGCTCTGCCACAATTCCTTCCAGATTTCCTCATCTGTAAAATGGGGATAATGACAGTGTGTTGTGGGGGTCAGAGGAGATGCTCACAGTCTGGCACACCATAGATTCTCAACAAAGACTAGCAAATATCATCATTGTTGCCATGGTAATAATGTCTCCTAAGTCCCAAGAAATAGGCTGAGAGATAGCTCTATCTGTAATGGACATCTGGAGAAAGTGAACTTAAGAAAGGTGTACAAAGCCAGGAAGCAGATCTGAGGATCACAGAGAAAAGAAAAATGGACAAACCAGGTGCCAGGCAGGGGCTCATTTCTGTCATCCTAACTACTTAGGAGGCTGAAATCTGAGGATTGCAGTTCAAAGTCAGCCCAGGCAGTAGAGTCTGTGAGACATCTCCAATTAACCACCAGCAAACCAGAACTGGTGCTGTAGCTCAAGTTGTAGAGCGCTAGCCTTGAGCTGAAGAGCTGAGGGACAGCGCCCAGGCCCAGAGTTTAAAAAAAAAAAAAAGTCCATGAGACTCCATCTCCAACTAATCAGCAAAAAGTCAGACAGGAGGCATAGGCCCAGTGGTAAAGTGCCAGCTATGGAAAGAGCACAAGGCCCTGAGTTCAAGTCCTGGTACTAGCAAAAGAAGAAGAAAAAAAAAGGAAGGCAGAGCATTGAGTTCAAATTTGCTAAGCTAGCTGGGCATTGGTGGCTCACACCTGTAATCCTAGCTACTCAGGAGGCTGAGATCTGAGGATTGAGGTTCAAAGCCAGCCCAGGCAAGAAAAGTCCATGAGACTCTTATCTCTAATTAACCACCAGAAAACTGGAAGTGGCGCTGTGGCTCAAAGTGGTAGAGAGCTTGCTTTGAGCTGAAGATCTCAAGGACAGTGACCAGGCCCAAAGTTCAAGTCCCACAGCTGACCAAAACAAAATTGTTAAGTTTAGAAATTTAACTAAGACTTTCTGAGCCTGCCTGACTTCCTGATTTCAGATCTCATTAACTTCTGCTAGTCTTTGATTTTTTTTTTTTTATTGATTATGCCTAACCAGATCCCAAATGCTGAGGGGCAGAGAGATCTTGGACCTTGGAAGGAGCTACTTTAAAGAAGGCAAGAGACACTCTGACCAAGAGAGAAGAAGCAGGCAGGCAGGCAAAGAAGGCTTCTAGGAGGAGGTGAGTTTAAGCCAGATCTCAAAGGACCAGTGAGATATACAGACTTGGAGAAAAGGGGTCTGTGTCCTGGAGATAAGGTTGGACTTGTAGCAACAGCTGCCAATTCTGGAAGCTCCTGATGAACCAGGTTTGGGGCAGAAAGCTTTATGCTCATTATCTTTGAGATTTCCCCACCACCTCAAGAGATAAGTGTTATTAGGGATGAGAAAACCAAGGCTCAGAGAATTAAAAAACAAACAAAAAACCAACTTGCCTGGGGTCACACAGCTAGTAAAGGGGCAGGGTCTGGGTTTGAGTCCAGGAATGCTGGTGAGCTCATCCTCAGTGAATCTGATGAGCCTCAAATTTAAGACCGACTTTAGGGCTTTGAATGTCAGCCCTCAGACTTGCATTAGTACAGGAAAAAAAAAAATCACAGGGCACTAGTAGGAATTGACAGAGACCAGCCACTGCTGGTAGTTCTGCTACTCACAACCAAAGGTCACCTCTCTGAGCATGTCTGAACTGGACAGACCAGGAATGCAAGTGGACTCACTGCAGGGAAGGCTTTTGAATCAGGGAGGGAGGCTCTAGTGTTCAAAGGATTGTCTCAGAGAAACCTGGAGATGTTTACGGATTTAACTGAGCCTTGGGACTGGCAGAAACTCAGCATTGTGGACCCTGACACCTGCTGGGCCTGCCAAAGGCTCAGGAGAGACCTGAAGAACATTTTTCTGAAAGGAACAGGGGCTCCAAAGCTGGACTGTGCTAGATTTGATTGCCAGTTTTCAAATCAACAAATCTCTCTTTGACCTTGGGCAAGTTATTCTGCCTCTGAGGCTCCAACTTTACCACGGGATCATCTTCCCACCTTTCATGGTCGTTAGAGTGAATTAAACAAAACAACACAGGCCATAATCTGCCCTGGTACTTGGCAGGCTGTAGGAACCCAATAAATGTTTTTCCTACTCTGAGTTATGCTAAACAAAGGGACAGGTTCCTGGCTTTCATCTAATGGGTGGGGGGGGGGAGGAGAGATATAAATGTACATATAATCCAGCTAAGTCTGTGGCCTGGGAAATACACTGAAGGATCTAGACTGCTCCCCACAAAAGATTGGTTCCACCCCCCCTCGCCCCTCGCCCCCCGCCCGCCGGCCCCCATCTCCCTGGAACTCCCTGGAACATCCCCCTTTCTCAGCGTGCTGTACGCAGCTCTAAGCGTCTCAGCACTGTGTCCCAGAACCCCCCTCGGTGTCATTTCTTGGGCTGCAATCGTCTGGGGACGGTCGGTAGGGACAGCAGGTGTTACGGCCCCTTTAAGCGGAGGCGCCGGGGTAGCAAGTGCAGCTCTGGAGAGGACTCTTTTCCGGGGGCGGGGGCGGAGGGGCGTGGCCTTACGTGTTACGTCAGCCAATCAAAGCACGGCATTTTCCGCGGGAGATCCGAATTTCGCGGCACGCAGTTTGGCGCTAAAAAAAAAAAAAAAAAAAAAAAGAAGAGAGAGAGACTGAGAGAGACGGAGAGACTGAGAGAGCCCGAGAGAGAGGGAGGCGGGGAGAGGCTCCGAGGCCGGAGAGAGCGAGCCGAGAGCCAGTCAGGGCGGTTGGGACCCC